CCAACTCCTCCAGCTCGAAGTCCCAGATCCCTTCTGGGGGTTCTGGATCAGCCGGATCATGAGGGTCTCCTTCTTCCTTCTCTTCTTCTTGAGGCTCTTCCTCCTCCGGGCCCTCTAGCTGGAAGATCGTCCGCCCGGCCCATCGGCTCTCGTCCTCAAAGACCTTTTCCGTCTTTTCGGCATTCCTCCAGTCGTCCATGAACATCTTCAGCGGACCATCTTTAGTTGTCCGTGCTATGGTCCTCCTCCGTCCCCGTAGTCGCTCCACAGGCACCGGACTTCCTGGGGCATCGTCAGGGAAGAACCTTACCTTCCGGTGGCTCTTGTGCACCCTGATCACGTACTTGCCGTTGGCGCTGGTGGTCCAGTAGTCCTCCGGTCGTTGCCCGGGTTGGTCCGGTTTCTTGACCTCCTCCAGGCCCTTCGCCTTGCCAGCTTCTCCACCTCCGTCTCGTTCCTTCTCCGGGATCTCCTCAGACTTCAGCGGATTCTTCGGCCATGTGTACGCGCCCACAAGCATGTACTTGCAGCTCCGCCCGTCGATGTCTCTTCCCTTCTTCAGCGGTCCGGCCAAATCCAACGAAAGGCAGTAGGCGTGCTTGTGCTTGATCCTCCTATGGGGTCGGTCTTGACCACTAGCCTCCTGACAAACTCGGCAGTCCCTCCTCATTGGGCAATGTCCTGCCGCGATGTGCTCTTGCCAACTCAGCTTCCGCAGCTTCACCACCTGCTTTCTGACCTGCGTCAGAATCGCTCTCCCCACTTCTCTCATGAGTCCTGGAGCCCACCTTGCGAGGTTCTTCGAGTCTCTGAGGTCTACCTCTTCCATCCGGGCTCTTGACACCAGCCCTGTCACCCTTCTCTCAGGCAGGTCGATGTAGAGGTTGGTCCCCAATGTCGTCGGCTTTTGTGCTGCTCCTCCGAAGTCCCCCGGTAGAACTCGTACTCGGCCATGCCTTCCATCTCCTCAAATGCTTCCCACTGGGTCGTCCCCCAAAAGGTCGGGCATCCAGGCATGTACTTCCTGGGATCCGCCGGCTGCTCCAACACGAAGCCAACCTGTGGGCCTCCCTTCGCATTCCGCGCTTCTTCCGCCACCAGGTAGATGGCTAACATCCGCCACATCATCACGTCGTCCTCCCAGACCGCCTTTTTCTCATGCGGCGTGAGGTCGCTCCTCCCAAACGGCTCTTCCGGTGACCTCACCGGTCGCGGACCACCGCCAGGTAGTGGATAATGTCGGAGCACTCTCCTGGTCCGGCAATTCGGTCCACCCACCACCGCATCGAAACGGGAATCCAACGCGCCCCGCAGCAGGGCTGCATAGAGCTCGTCCGACATCATGTCGTGCTCCGGCCCACGCTGCAAATCAATCTCCAAGACGTCCATGTGGTCGCCTCCAAGCTCCTTCACCGCCCGTTCCAGGGTGTATCCTTCACGGGGTCCCGCGTATAGGTGCAGGATGGCTTTCCGGCCTTTCTGCTCCAGGGACCGTCTCCGTCTCCGATTCCATGGGATTGCCCGCAATGTTTCCGCCGGCTCCACCAGAACCTTCCTTCGCACCTCCTCCGGTAGGTCACGAAATGCAGGATGTAGTTCCACCACCTTTCTGACCGTTTCCCAGTCCAGGACCTTCTTTAGCTTTACTTCGCTAATCCGGCCCTTCCTTTTCTCCTTCCCCTTTTTCTCAAGCTCCTCGAGCAACTTCGTCGCCGTCCGCTGGGTCACATAGGGGCATCCATCCTCCATGTGAATCCGCAAAGCTCCCAGCTCTGGATGTACCACGCGGCACTCATCCCCATCCCACGTCACCACGCAGTGCAACCTCTCCACCAGCAGACCCAACGGAATGATGGAGCCCACGCCCTCGTTCTCCTGGACGATGATGCCTCCCTCCGTGATCCGCATGACTTTCATCTCTCCTCCGGCTAGGGCAACATCGATCTCGTCCAGATTCTCGATGTCTTCACCTTCTTGCCGGGCACGTAGAGGATGCGTAGCTCCCGAGTCCAGTAGCCCACCATCACTCCACCTCCCTTGAGCGTTTACCTGGGCCCTTTTGAGAGACCCATATCTCAACCCATTCAACTGTTTCTGCAGGTCGTCCAAGCGGTCGTTTCTCTCGTCCACCTTCTTGACTCCCTGCGAGGCGTTGAGGCTCCGTAGCATCTTTGCTGCTTCCTGCAACACCCCACCCATAGATTCGTCTTTCCTCGAATCTGCCACCACCGTTTCCTTCTCCCGGATCGGCTTGATCTCCTCCTTCTTGGGTGAGGGTGCCGAAGCCGGTGTCGTCGCCACGTCGTTTTCCTGGGCCACCCTTCTCACAGCCGCCGGCTTCTCAGGTGATGTCGGCTTCTGCTTTCTGGGGCAGTCTTTCCTCATGTGTTCCACTGATCCACACTCCCAGCAGCGTCCTCTTGCGGTCTCATCCGTGGGATGCTGCCACTCACAACTCCGGCCCTTTCTGCAGCCGGTGTCCTTCATGTAGAACCTGCAAACTAGGTCTCTACGTCCCGTCCCCTGCTCCTTCTCTGTCTCGACCTTCCGGATCTTAGCGTCCACGGGTTTTGTCACCTTTCTCTCACCCCCCTGGTTGCTCTGTTCCAGTTCGGCCAAGACGTGCTCCGCGAACTGCTGCACCGTTCCATGCGTCGGCACGCTGTCCACCCGCAGCGTGTTCCGGGCAAGGGAAATCCGGAACGTCAGCTCCCGGTTCGTCTCCACCACTTTTCGAATCATCTTGCTGAGGCCCCTCATCATCACCGTGGGGTCTGGCAACGCCAAGTTCATCTCGCTCGCCCGCCGCCTCCACCTCAGCCACTTTCTCAAACTCTTGAGCGCCTCCGGGATCGTAGCAGCTTCCACCGGCTCCTCCAACGCCCGTAGGACCACTCCTTTTTCTCCAAGGCCTCCTGGTTGATACACTACCAGAAGCCTGCAGATCGCCCCGTAGGCCGACACCGTATTCGTGGCGATCATCTCGTCTCTCACCGTCTCCGGAACCGCCTGGATGATGAGCGAAGCTGCCCGCCTTTCCAACCGACTCCATTTCCGTACCCCCAACACCTCCGGCGTCTTGGGCACCATGTTGACCCTGTTCAGCGGGATCTCCTTCATGTACTCCTCGTACCACTCGCGGGCCTCCTTTAAGAGTAGGTCCCACCATTCCATCGAGCTGTCACTCAGGTCCGACATCAGGGGATGGATGATTGTGAACCAGTCCCCTAGATCTATCGGACCATTCTCTGGGCTAAATTCGCCCAGGCGAGGCAACTCCGCGAAGCCCGCCTTGACCGTCTCGATGGTCTCCTTCTTCTCCTTCTGCTCCAAGAGCTGCTTCTGCATCATCTGCATGCCCTCCATGAGCTTCAGCATTACGTCCATTTGGTGGCCATCCTTTCCGGATCCAGCCACATCACTTGCCCTTTCCGAGGCACCGCCATCCTGCTCATCCCGAGCATTTCCTTTTTCACCACCAGCTCCAAGTCCGCCTTCTCCGCCCTTGCCATTCGAGTGGTCGCGGGTCGGGCCGTAGGGCTCGTGGTTCTGATTGTCCCTGACCGTGCTCATGCCGTTCACCTTTTCCCGGCTCTCCGGCGTGCCGTAGTCAGCGTCCGTCTCCTTTCCTTGTTTCTTCAGCACTTCCACCTCATGCTGAAGCCTCTGATTCCGCGTCATCAGCTCCTGCATCATCTGCATGAGGTAGACCGGGTCCACTCCCGGTGCCGATGGTGTCGTCCTCGTATCCTGAGACGCCGCCATCATCTTCATCATCTGGCCCTCCGGCTCCGGATTCTCCATGGGTAGGTACCTCGGTCGAAGTTGGCCACCACCCGGAGTGTCTCCCTCCAGGTTACTCTCCACGGGCAAGTGCGCCGGCCTCGGTTGGTCCATCCGCGGTCCCCTCAGCAACGGTGCTTTCTCGTCCCACTTGTTGAACTCCCTGATCTGCTCCGGGGTGAACAGAGGCTTCATGGCTTCTGGCTCTCCTTCCGGTCCATTTGGCCACCTGCGTGGAGGCTCCGGATCGAGTTCCTCCTCGCCCTGGCCTGGCTTGAGCGGTGTTGCCGTGAGCTCAAGCGGCCTCACCACCTCCACCATCCTCCTCGGAGGCCTTCTGCCTCCAGCATAGGGCACCATTTCCTGCCCTATGGTCTCCAGGCTCTCCACCTCCGGTTCTTCTCCATCGGCAGAATCGAGCCTTTCTCGAGGTTCTCCACTTCCTGATGCCCTTGTCGGTTCCATTGCCGAGCGAGGGCCCCTGTTTTAGGGGTTTGGGCTCATAACCTTTGGTGCCGCTATTCAGAAGCGGTCTTTTCCTCGACACAAAAACGGCTCCATTGTGCATGGTTTGATTGCCTATACATGAACCCCTATAGTTCACAGTAACAATCCATGTCCGCCAATTCAAATGAAGCGTGCTCAAGGAGGAACACTTCCCTTCTTTTCTCACTTCTTTCTTTTTGTTGCCGGTGCATTGTCTAGCTTTAGTTGTGGTGTTTCCTTTAACCCAGAAGGTCCTTTGCAAAGTTGCAAGCGTGGTTGCAAAATCGATGAGACCCGGTTCGGTCCCGTTTGAAAGGACGCCAACCGCGGTGGTCTCAAAGTTGAAGTTCCCAGCCAGTTGATCCCCTTAGGAGTGCCACATGAGCTTCGGCGGGGACGAGCGACCAACAAACAGCAGCACGCGAGTCGATCATGCAGAAACTCAAGCAGAACGTATTTCCGTGATGCCTCAAGTGAGAAGACTCGTCGCTTATTCTTCGGGTACATCCAAACTTGCCGCATGTTGCGGCGAATCAAACGGAAGTGGATTAATGGAGTCCGCTTCAACAGGATTACACTTCCCCCCGCTGTCAGCTTCCCATGGCTGGATAGAGGGTACCCTTGGCCTTTGATGCAATAATATTGGCATTTTGTAGAATCGTATTGTTTAAGTGAGTATCGTTTTGGTTTCCCTGAAACGAACGCAAGATGCGTTGGAACCAAAGCTGCAGGTGAAGTCTGCCGCAGAGACCTCCATGGCGCCCCTGGGGGGGAGATAGAGAGAGAGAGAGAGAGAGAGAGAGAAGGAGGGTCTCAAGCAAACCCAAAAGCTGACTTTTTGGGGCGCCCGTGGTTTGTTTTCCTCTTCTTTTCTTTTTTGCGGGGGTGGGGGGTTGGGATTTGAGGCAACACTCATACATATTACACGATATGTATTAAGGGGCCAATGATTTTGTGAGGGGTGATATGAGGGAAGCACTCAGACACAAAAGGATCGACAGGCAATTATGTCACTATGTTGGCATTTCCCGCGTGAAACTGACATCCTGCCTGGAAATGGAGTACCCCCCCCGTTTCGAACCATCCGAGCTCGTTTGGAGATGCGTCAGTCGCTATCCCAAACTTGGGCTTCAGCCTCCCTGGAGCTGCGAGAGGGGGCATCTCATGAAGTTCGGTCAAACGATCCGATGGTGATGTGGTGGGCTCGCTGAATGCCCCCACAACCAGCGAGGCCCCAAAAATCGGCGGGTTTTCCCTGTGGGTGTTCCTTCAAAACCACCAAGAAAGGGGGAGCCCCAGAAAAGGGACGGATCGCCCTGGGGGACGCTCAAAACAAAGCCCATTGCCATGGCCTTCCGAAGTGTTGAACTCTTTGGTAGTTTTATGAACGGTTTCCCTTTGAAACCCTTCGCAAAAAGGGCGGCGTTTCACCCGGCAAAAAAAAAAAACATACATCCGAACTTGCAGCTTTGGAAAAGCGACCGGCCCGCCGAGGCTTTCGCTCTTTGCTCCAAAAGAGCAGGTGTCACTGGGGTTTCCCCGCACCGGAAGTTGATCCATTCACTGATTGAGATGGAGGACCCCCCCAAAAGAAGAAAGCCAGATTTTCCAAGTCCAGGAGCTGGGGTGGCTGGGAGAGGGGCCTGGGAGAGGTGTCGTCGATTTACCCCTGTCCTTGGCAAAGCTTTGCCAACGCGTGTGGCCGGTGCCAGGGCACTGAGATCACGGAAGAGGATTTGGCCTGAGACCCAGCCGATAGGGGACGCCCAGGAACTAGCTGCGAGAACTTTTGGGGGTGCATTTCTCTGAGGGGCAATCCTTTGGGGTTGGTTTTAAAGGGAAACCAAGAGGAATCTTAGCCTTTTAAAACACACAAAGCCATTTTGCGAGGTCTTTTTGGAGGGGTCCCTCAAAATCAGCCAACAAGAGTGGCCTTCTCTTCCCATGGTGATTTTGACAATTTCTATTGTCTGGGGGTCAAAGTCTCGGCTCCTTGGTTCACCAATTGGGGGGGGGACATCGCGAGAGCAATTTACCCCGAGCGATTTACACCACGAAGGTTCCCCTGGTTGTTCCTTTCCTAGTTCCTCAGAGATTCCTTGAAATAATTCATGGTGTGTGTTTTGAGTTGGTCCTCTTTTGTTGTGGTTTCAATGGGAAACCAACAGGAACACCACTTGTGGGTTCCTCCAAAAAAAAAACCGACCCGGAAAGACCGGCCGCTTCCTATCGGCCGCTTCGGATCGTGCGTAAGCTTTGGCAGGGCAACATCAAGACCTTGAGCGAGCGCGTGATTGAGCTCACGGAGTACAGGGCCTCCCTCTCCGAGTATTTGAAGGCTCGACGGAGCGATTTCGGGAGCGCGCCCTTGGCGGGAAGTGAGGTGACGGCTTCTTTTCCCCCAACAACAACAAACTGCAGTTTATAAAACAACACCAACACCCAATATGTTTTAATATTTAGCAAGGACGGAGAACATGTGGCTTTGCACCTGGTCTGCCCTTCCAGACTCGAGATACTATTGGCTGCTTGTCCTAACATTTCACACCCCGGCTGAGGGGAACGCACAGTTCTCCATTGGAGAAGCCGAGAAGAAAAAAGCACCTTTCAACTTTCCTTTGGCCCCAAACCATCTGGTGCTCTCCGGAGCCGAAGCCTTCGTCGCCTTCGCCGGATTGGTCTTAGCTCAGCTCCGGATGAACGCCATCGCGCCGAACCTCACCTACATGGTGGGCGAGCTGGTGGGGGCAAGGCTCATCTCCCAAGCGGGGCCCGTGCCTGAGAAGCTTCGGGCCCACCGTCCAGTCCAGCAATATGGGGTGGCGATCCGTCTGTTCTTTTTTTCCCCGTTGGGTACCATTTGCTAGGTCCTCGTTTTCATTTTCCTTTTTGTTTGTTTTGCGTTGGGAACCATTTTCTAGGTCCACGTTTTTGTTTCTTCTGTTTTTTTTTTGGTTTCTGGTTAGTTAGCACAATTTGGAGGGTCCCCTACAAAAGACACACTTATACATATGATGAATTGAGACCGCATTGGATACCCCTATTGACTGAAGCGATAGGAGGTTTCCCGCCTAGACCCGGAATTCAAGCGTTTGCAAATACTCATATCAAGTTCAAGTTGATGTCCTGCAGATGCGCCAACCTTTTTACAATCTGCTTTTTTTTCTCCCCCGCGCCGGCGCGGATGTTCTTCTCTTCCTCGGAAGCCGAGGTCCCTGATGAGCCTGGCCAAGCATCCCTCGAGCACGGTGCAGATCCTGGGCGCTGAGAAGGCACGCGGAAGTTTCGGAAAAGTTTCGGAGTTCGGAGTTCGGACATGGGAGGAGTTGGCCAGCACCAATGCTGTTCTCTTTGTATGTCCGTCTGCATCGAATGCTCCGTGCTCCGAGAGGGGGGGGGGGAAGACTTTGCCAACGAGAAAGATTCGTGCCATTGCCTTGGAACAATTGCCCATCTTTTCCTTCGCTGGACACATCATGAAAGCTCCCCTTTCGGAGCGGATGGTCGTGGAACCTTCGGGTTTTAGACAAGGGGCCATGACAAGGACCAAGAAAAGGCCATGCGTGCCGGGCAGCTCAAAGCCCGAAAGTTGCCAATGCTTGGGCCCAAACCTCGAAACTCCAAAACGGGTACAAGCCACAGTGCAAAACATGGGCGAAGCAAATATTCCAGGAACATTCCCCTGGAAGCTTCAGGATGGCCCCCAAAGAAGCTGCGGATTCCAGGGGCTTTCAAATCGGGGGAGTTTCAAGGCTGGGGGTACCACCGGGGCTTTTTCTTCTTCTTTTTCTCCGCAAGTGGTGGTTTCCCTTCAGGCCCAGGCGAAAGGGCACCCTTATTTTTGACGAAAGGGCACGAGGCCACAATGGAACGCAGAGTTCTCGCGGGACTGTGGTGACCAAAGTGGAAGCTTCGAGTCGGTTCAGCGCCAAGTGGCGTTCACTTCAGCCGGGGTCTGAGGGTCTGAGCTGGTGACAGGCGCTCTTCAGAGCAATGAAGACCAAGAAGCAAACGCCGAAGTGGGAGCCTCAGCTTCGGAAGTCAAGTCGATCAAGGCGGTTCGTTGTGACCCTTTGGTGGGTCTCACGGTTTTGAGATCACTGAGTGATCCCTTCGGCCAGGTACGGCCTCATCTACCATGCCGCTTTGGTGGGTCAGTCGGCGCCGGCGCTGAAGGCCCTTTGAAAGGTTGGGAGGTTGGGCCTTTCTATCTGGAACATGGCTGGCTTCAGGAAATCCCACTTTCTGTGGTACCAAGGGAAGCCCCTAAGTGACAGCGCAGTACTGCAGATGGCCCACTTGGGCATCGCGGAGAGTTTCAGTTCCCACAACCATTTTGTTTGTTGCTTGCTTGCTTGCTTCCTTGCTTCCCTGCTTGTTTGCTTGTTTGTTTGTTTGTTTGTTTTCTGCGCGCAGGTGTGCGCGGGCGTGTCTTTGCGTGTGTCTGTCTGTGTCTGTGTGTGTGTGTGTTGAAGGACTGTTGACCCATGATGCACAACCCAAGGTATTCCTTGGTCATTGGGTTTTGTTCGGCGAGGACACCGTGGACTGAACTGGCTTTCGTTGATTGCTTGCAACCCGTGGACTTTGAAGCCAAGGAAGTGGGAGGGTTTCCGAATTCAAAGGGCTCAACAAGCCTTCCAGCAAGCCTCCCAAGTGATCAGCGGCACAAGCCCAGGTACAGCATTGGCACTTCCATGACTTTCAGAGGGAACCCTCCCTGGTAAGGATTCCTCCCTGGGCTGCGCAAGCCCACCCTGCTTCGCCAGTCGACCAGACGGAATATGCTCCACAAGAACCTAGGCCAACCTCCCATACTGTAGATGGACGAACACCATTTCGCTCCACCGTTCGATTCCCCAGCGAAAATTTCAATCAAATTCACGGTTTGAACCTTTTTGGTTGTTTTGGCAAAAGAATAGATGGCGATTTCCTGGTTCACCAGGTGGTTTACTCTTCTGGCCATGGGTCAAAATCCCCTACCCGCGGTGAACATTCCAATCCCCACTAAAATCCCGACTAAGATGGGTGGGGCACCGAAAACCCCCCCAAAATGGTATCCCAAAACGGTTTGGACAACCACAGCCATCTACCAGGGCCATCCATCTTTTTCCGAAAGGACACCAAGGCGGACTCGCAGCCCAGGGGAAGATCAGCCGCGTGCTGGCGGCGAAGCTGTCGCTCTGTTGTCGCGTGGATGCCTTGGGCGACCAGGCGGGGTTTCCAGGCGAATCCAATTGCTTCCATTTTCTTTTTAGACTTTTTCCCCGGTTGTTTTCCCATTTTCTTAAGATTTTGTTTGTTCCCCTTTTGGTTTCAAAGGGCATCTATCAGGGGCCACCCTAGCAAAAACAGTGACACACCCAAATCTACCAAGTCCAAGTGTCCCTTACAGCTACTGTACACCCATTTGGTTACGCCCCCTGGAAAGAAATAATAATATTTCCAGTAGTGGTGTTCCTGGGGCACCAAAAGGAAGACCGGATTCCTTTGGGGCACCCACATCCAAAAAGCCGAGATATGGCCTCCAAGCACCCCGAACCCCCAAGCTGAGGCTTTCTGAAAGTCACCGCATGGGTTGATTGGCCAACCACTCAACAGAGTCCCCGCAACCAAAGCAAACTGGCGGTAGAGATGGGAATTCCACTTACCGTGTGTGATTATCCCACAGCCATGCCTCCCTTGCAATGCCGTGTCCTGAAGGGGATGCTTTGTTTGGGCAACCAGCACGAAGCCGTTTTCTGCCACTGGGATATTTTTCCAAACCGATCAAGTCCAGTCCACACCCCTTCCCAATGTCATAGGGTTGACCTCTACAAAACCACACCCAAAGAGCCCTTGACCTCAATCAGGTCGTGCCTTTCTTTTGAGGGAACCCCCGTGGGTTGAAATGGACGCCAAGTTCACATTTTGTGGGGTCCGATTCCTAAACGAAAGCCACACCCATAAAGAGACCGAGATTGATTTGAACCAGACTGCTTGTTCGGCTGTCTCGGCCGGGCAAAGGTACAGTTTTTTGGACCAGTGGATGGGTTTGTCTGAAAGGGGACCCCACAAAGGGTTGGTTTCCTATCGGTCTCTTAGCAAAACCAAACCAAAGTGGGTACCCTCAAAGAAAGACACCACACGCCAACAAATGGCTCCTAATCGAACTGGAACCCACACAAGAGCTTGGAGGAAGGCCTTGCACATGTGATGGCTTTCACTTTTCCCTGTGGGAGTTGATCAAAAGGTTCAATGACCATGGCATGACCGGTGGAAAACCACTAAAAAGACGATATTTGCCACATGAGAAAAGTAACCCATGGTGATTCTGGGGCCAGGAATGTTGATCAACCCCCATGAGAGCAATCCTTGATGCACAACCTTTGGAGAGTGCCTTTCTGATTTGTGGTTGCCGATCATGCCAGGCTGAATTCCCTTGCATGACAGCTTTTGTTCCACCAAATAGAACGCCCTTGGTCGCACTTGGAGACCAACCCCATTCCTTGTTCTGGAACACGGCGTTAAGTGAGTTCTCTTGTGATGAAAGAGCAGAATTAGGAGAATGCGGCGGTTTGGTTCGGGCACTCCTTCTTTGTTGTGACCTGTACGTAAATTTCCTGTTCGTCAATGCCAAGCGACATAAGGAAGCAAAAAGTGGATGTGAACTTAGAACTGGGGTTTAGAGCAAAATATGGCAAGGGCTCCGGCGAGATTTTCCAACGCAGACAGTCACGCATGATTTGGTCCAGATGTCTCGTGAAGGGGAGATTGATCACGGAGATCCTTAAAGACCGTTATGAGTCATAAAAAGGGAACCATGACCACAGGCCATATGGGTCTGTCTGTTGTTTGAGGCCACCCCTTTTTGGTTGGCTTTAAAGCTAAACCAAGAAGGGCGCTTCCCTAAAAAATGACATGGAGTTTTGACCATGGCACACAGTGCCAGGTCGAGCCGACCCTTGGGCAGGACGCCGGAAGAATTTCTCCCGTGGACTTTTTGGCAAGGGGCAAAGACGCACCCAAGAAACCCTGCAAGGTCGGTTTGGTCGGGCTTCAAATCAGCTTCGGTGGGGATTCTAGGTCCCCCAGTGCCCTTTTACCCTTTGGGGGGAGGGTTCTCCTACTAAGATAGGCTACAGGGTACTCTTATTCTATCCTCTCTACTGGAGGACCTAGGATTGGCTCTTGGGGGATTTGAAGCCCTGGTTTTCGTAGCGGGTAAGGAAGAAAACCCGGCAATCCAAACCACTTGGCAGGAAGCTGAGAGAAGTGTGCAACGCGGAAAGGGCAACAGCTACCGGCCAGACTGGACGAGGCATGACGAGACCACAGAGGCAGCACTCAGTCACACCCACTTGGGGAAACCACGTAATTGGGGGCACTTGCTGTGATTTTCCAGGGGAGTCGCAGACTGAGAAGAACCTTCCATGGGGGCACGGCTGCGCCTGGGGTCAAAAAGGATCCTGAAACTCCGAAACTTTCCAGGGATGCCTTGGTAGGCCCCAAAGAGAAGGACCTTACGCCCCACACCGTACCACTTGGAGCCATTTGAGGAACCGCCTTTTGCAAGCTGAACCTTTCTTGACCGGTGGGGCCTCTGGCGCAACCCGCGAGTCCCTTTTCAGATCCTTTGGGCCCCCTGCAAGCGAGTCCTGAGTCAGGCTCCTTTGGCTCGGCAGCAAGTGGCTGCCCAACGCATAGATTCTGCTGTACCTACGCGATGGCTATGGTTTCAAGGGATTTCGCAACGAAGAAGGGGCTGTGGGACATGTGTGTAGCTTAGGTCCAGGAGCTCCGGCTTGCGGTGGATGCCGATTCCTGCTTTCTTTTGGTCTGGGAACGAGGGAACGCGTTTACCAGAAATCTAGCACGGTTTTGGGGGTTAAGTGTGGATGTCTTCCTCCATTACTCGCATTTTGGCAGAGATCAGCATCCACCGTTGCTCCTAACAGGTTTTCAAATAACGAATCTTGTTTGATATTGGGTAACAGATCTTTCGACTTTAACTTTTTGGCTGAAATAACCACTGGGTTTTTCATTAAATGAACCCACAACCAGTGAAGCAACTTTTGTCCTCCCGTGCTTCTTTTCCTCCCGAGCTTCCGTTTGCGGAAATGAATGTGTTTTTTGTTCCTTGGAACATTTTGAAGCTGAAAGCAATTTCACCGAACATCTTCTCCAAGTTTTCCAGGCGAGCGCGTTTTCTCAAATAGCCTTGGGTCAAAAGCCCGTACCCGCGGTGAACATCCCAATCCCCACTAACATATAGGTTCTAAAACGGGTGGTGCACCGAAAACCCCCCAAAATGGGATCCCAAAACGGTTTCGACAGCCACAGCCAAATGGCTGGAGCCCATGGCCGTGCGAGTGAGGAGTTCAAGGAGTACGTGGAGCGTCGCCTGGCGACCCTGGAGGAGGGCGGAATGAAGTCCCTCAGCAAGGGCATCAGCAGGCCGCTCGGAACGAATCGAACCGAGCTCCGGCCGAAGCATCTCCCCTGGCCTTTTTGCGAGGAGTCTAGGTCCCCCAGTAGTGTCCTTTTACCTTTTTTTTGGGAGGGTTCCCCTACTAAAATAGACTACAGCAAACAGGGCACCCTTATTCAAGCCTCTCTATAGGAGGACCTAGGAGTTGCATTTCGATGGCCGGGCCAGGCTTGGCATGGGCAAGCTGATATTCCACTAGCAGCGCCCTTTGTGTAACCTAAACTCGTGCCAGAGAAGGCCCTCGGATGTGGGCTTTTGAAAGGTCCATGTCCTTTCGACACGTCCTCAAACGCAAAACACAAAAGGAGCGAGACCTGGCCAAAGCTGATTTGTAGGTGGTCTCAAAACCCGTGGGAGTCGGAGCCCTTGAACCCCTTGAACCTTAACCCGCCGTCGCTGGTTCCCTGCGTGTGAGCATAAGCCTTTGAGCCAGAAGCCGAGATCGTTTTCCAGGGATTTGCAGATCCATTTTTCCAGGGGCGCCATGCAACTCGGACATGGTCCAGGAAGATCATTTTGCAGGAGGCACGCAACACAATTGCCTTCAATTAATCGATGTCACTGCGCAGACGCAACCTGTGGGGCAAAGATCCGAGATGACACATGTCAGGCAAAGGACCAACATCGCAAGGCAAAAGAGGAGCATAGAAGCAGAAAGCCATGCAAATCTTGTTTCCAGCCTTGTTTCCATGTTCTTGGGCTCTTTGGCAGCACT